CAACTCCGTAGCACTTATGAGGGTGTCGCTAAGTCGGTGGCCTATCGTTAAGTAAGTACTACATCAACATTTCCTTCCCTATCCCTAGTTATGGTAAAGATGGGCGTGGCCGGGAATAGCGACAGTCATGCTTCTGTTACTCTTGTTTAGATTGGAACCAATGTTTACTCCCCAGCATTATTCCTGAAAGTAGTCAACTGAGAATTCCAGAAGAGACGTGAGTGTCGCTAGTATCCAATCTACGAAGTATATCATAACAACGCTAACGCTAACGTTATCCAATTTTTGACATAAAGGATGAGACGTAAACAAACATGTCATGTAATATAAAGTGCTTCGAGACTGAAAAGTTCGAAAGTATGTCCGATTGAACTGAATTTTGCGTCTACTATGACTCAAATTTATGTCAAGATTGACGCTCGTATGTGTCACTCTCAGAGCACCTAAATTTACATCAATTTTTCTAAGTGTGTGAATATTATTCATGGTGTATTTTCATAACACGAAAATACGCTGTGTTCATGAAATCATGAGTCATTTTTCTCATTTCGGAGATCGGATTTTTCCAGTGTATAGACTGGCAGGTAAGCCGTAAATTACAGCACTCACACTATCATAGCATGCTGCCTATCTTAACTGCAGGCAGAAGATTCCTAGGTGCGCTAGTGTTCGCCAATGAAAAGTGGAGCCACTTTCAGATCTGAAATTATATATCTGTTTGGTTGTGGGCTCTCTCATACAGTGCGGTGAAGAAATTCATACGAATATTGAAGAAGCCGTTTACCGAACTACGTCTCAGAGTAGGCGCACTACTGGGCAACCTGGAGGGGCTACGCGGACTACAGAGAGTGTTCGGAAAAACTCAAAAACTCAAATCTCATGCATGAGTTTATGCGCCTTTGAGTTTTGCCTTGCAAAATTCAACATCGCAAAAATCACCGATGAGTTTTCAGGTTCAAAAATTCATTGCTTTGTATTTTGGCGATATTCATTGTTATTACTATTGTTTGTGCATCAGGGGTTGGAAAACTAGCACAACATGTATAGGCATGATATCAATTGACGTTTGAGTGGTTTTTATGAGTTTAAAGCTGGAATGATTTTTCAGCGTTGTGAGTGTGAGTGCGTGAATATGCATGAGAATCTCAAGCGTGAATTTTGTTTGCCGCATTCGCACCCGAATTGATTCACGCAGGGAGGCTCAATTAATGAGATTTGAGAATGATTTTCCGAACACTGCTACAGACACTTCTGGTCTACTCGCGCTTGTGATATAAAGTTAAGGATGGCCGTTCCTTAAGCATCGCAGAACCCTTCAGCTCATCACCATCCATGTCACCTTTTTGTCGCGGCCATGCACGCCTTATTCAGCAATCGGCCGTTAAGCATGGGTCTGCCCAGTGGGTTTCACTGCAAGTGTAATACAGATTTACTTGAATGCTCGATCACATGGTGCAAATTTTAAATATTGTATTGAACCTTTGTAACAGAACGGTTACACGCTCGACCTCTTCTTAAACGATGCAGGCAGCTAAATCCGGTTGGGTCATCCTGAACATTGTTACGCTCAAATTTGACGCATCGTTTCTGCGTGGGTTTTTAGCAGGAACCATAATCCAATCCTCTGTCTTCTGCCTTGTTGTTGGAAAGCACTTAATTCGAATTCAACGAATTGCGTCCAGTCTTGTGCAGTACTCTCGCTTCCTGGTGTTGAAAGGGTTTACAAACCATTTGCTTACTAATGCCGATGTTGCTCCAAAAATTACGATCCGAAAAATTATTATGCAAATCCAAGCCTGCTTCGAAAAGATAATAAATCAGGCGTAACATTTGACAACGGCACAAAAGCTTTTGTAAACAAAAGTTGTAAGGCCCGTTACACGCGAACCGAAGAACGCCCACGTAAACCAACAACATCATCGGATGGGGGAAATTTTTCCCTTTCCGATAATGTTATTGGTTTCCGTGGGCGTACGTCAGTTCACGTGTAAAGGGCCTTATAACTTTTGTTTACAAACACTTTTGTGCCGTTATCAAATGTTACGCCTGAAATTTCAATTTAAGTAATAGTGTCAAATATTCGAAATGCAGTTCATTGATTCATTCAAAACGATTTATCGACTCTCATATAACGTTTTGCACCGCCAGGGTTAACCTCAATCGGATGACAGTTCAGTGGTACCATAGAGGTAATTCTAAGACCAGAAGGTCCCGAAGAAACGTGCTCAACTTTTTGACTCAGCTCTGGTACTATCTTCGGTCCCAAGCTAATCGATGCACCCCTGGAATAATAGGAAAATCCACGAATTTTATCTGTCAATCTATCATAGCGAATCAAAACAAACATAGTGTACTAGAATCTCGACTAGAATGGGATACGCTTATAGATGTATAGGGACCAATAGGCTAGTCAAGTAGTGAGCCAGTTTTAAATCGTTAGTTTCCAACCGGTGGTATTACTAACCGGTGACAACTAACGATTTTAAATTGGCTCACTACTTGACTAGCCTATTGGTCTCAAGCAAATCGATTAACGTATCCCATTCTATACTTGACTAGCCTATTGGTCCCAAGCAAATCGATTAACGTATCCCATTCTATTTAACGGCACCGGTGGTGTAGTGGTAAGCGTGATTACCTCTCACCCCAGCAGGCCTGGGTTCAATCCCAGTCGGCGCCGCCGGGATGTTCTGAGGCATAACATCTCTGATCACACCTTCCTTCGGATGGGAAGTAAAGCCGTTGGTCCCCGGTTCATGAGTTGATGGGTCGATAGGTAGGGTCCAGGTGTGGGAGCTGCCTTCCTGGCACGTCGGTAGCATTGGTGCTCAGCACGGAAAACAAGATCGACGGAAAAAAAACAAACCAAAGGAAAAAAAAATCCCATTATATTCGAAATTCTAGTACTAACTATGTTTGTTTTGATTCGCTATGAAAGTTTGACAAATAAAATGTTGGGTTCGTAGATTTTCCTATGTTTCGAGGGGTGCATTGATTAGCTTGGGACCAAACAGAGTACTAGAGCTGAGCCAAAAAGTTGAGCACGTTTCTTCGGGACCTACTAGTCTTAGTGTTACCTCTATGGTATTACCATAGAGGTAACTCTAAGACCACTGGGTCCTGAAGAAAATCATTATTATTTTTGGCTCACTCAGTACCAGAACAACGGTCCCAAGCAGTCCCAAGCTATTTCACTCACCCCTGCATGTTCTGCATGAATCCACACACCCCTGATGTTATCTGTCAAACTTTCATAGCGAATCAAAACAAACATAGTGTAGTAATAGAATTTCAACTAGAATAGGGTACGTTAATCGTTTGCTTGGGACCAATAGGCTACTAAAGTGGTGAGCCAATTTAAAATCGTTAGTTTCGAATTGATTGTTGGTATTACTGTAACACTAAAAATAATACGACAATATTTTAATAAAAAAGCCATCTTGGAAAGGCTTAGCGCTATGGCTTGGTGTATTGTAAGCAGATGAATTAAAACATATATATGATTGGTCATATATCTTCGGTAACGTTTGACCTCAAACTAAAATTATAACTAATAACAACGAAAGTGGTAAGTCATGCAAGATGTGAACAACGTTTAGGGTTGCTAGTTTGTGTGTAAAAATATCGTCATGACACCAGTTATTTTATTTTTCTTCACGTTTCTCTCTCTTATAGGGCTCTAGTTACCAGTAACAATTTCCATTTTTTCATTGATCAAGATATGCTTCCAATCCAAGTGATAACTCCATCTGTCAAAAAACATACCCAACTATTGGCAGTAAATGAAGCCTGCTGATTCCACACAGAGCATGGTCACATGCGCAGAACTAACTAATTCGGGCTCCTTAGGAAAAGGCAACAAACAGGAAAACGTCACACGTTTCATGTATAGTCACTATATTCATAGTCTGGTGGAGACAATGACGGGAGCTAATTCGACCTTTCACTTGCGGGACCTAATCGAGCATAACTGTTTCTTTTTGATTCAATGTGATGGAAGTATTAAAATCAAATCGTGACGATCATTAAATCGAGCAAAAATTAAATCATTTTAGGTTGTAATTTATCAATGCGTTCCTGAACGTACTATTTTTGCGTTTTTCATGGGAAACATCGACGCGCCAAATTAGTAGAGTAGTTTTACGGATAGAATGGAAATTTGACAAATGCATTGTGTAGGTATGCGTTGACAAGTGAATGTTTATCGATATTGTTTTGAAACATTTTCACCGTATAAAACGTTCAGCACTTATATTAAGAGTATTCACATTGCGCATCGTAAACGTATACAGTGTATACTATACACCCTCGTAAATGCGTAAACTTCCATTGCACTCCAATTGACCCCGGTATTTTTACGATAGTGTATTTGTTTACGATGTGCATAGTGAATACCCCTATTGATTCTGCTCATAAAAAATAAAAATATTATTTTATGTAAAACGAAATCGTTCTGCAAAGGCTTGAACTTTTTCACGGGGTACCAAATCTTTATTGCAAAAATCGAAGTTGCCTTACCGACGAAGTTGCCTGTTTGCGAGTTTTGTACCCGCCAGACCATAGATATAGTGACTATAATCTGTACACGGTTCAAATGAGTTGATTCAATTTACCCCCGATTTTATGATCGGCATTCAAGTGACTTGAAAGCGATTATAAAAAAGCTCGACATCGACCAACTACCTGGACGCTCAATTTGCAGCTCCAGTGAATTCAGATGAACGCCGAATTGAATAGTCTAAACCGGGCAGTCTAAATAGCATGCAACAATCATTTTGGGAAACAACAATCCCCATCCCCGCCCCACGGAAATTTCTTTTGTGGTGAATCAACCGTTATCAACATAAAGTTCTCCTTCCGCTTTCTTACATCCACCTCTCCTCTTCGCTCAGCGCCTGCTGTACAGCAGGGTTGGGTGGTGTGGTGAGTTTTCCCTAGTTCTTGGGTTGCTTTGGTTCACGCAGCATACACGGACGTCATTCTTATCCTGTTCATCACCACTGACTGAGGTGAAATGACACGGGAAAAGCACGGTGTATGAAAAGTGGGAAAAGAGTTTTCCATTATCGGAGTGAGCTTGGTGAAAAAATGGTGTTTTGTTTTCGACTCTAGATTCCTGTTTGTTGTGTAGTTTTGTGGAATCGATTATTAATCAAGCTTTCGTTTAGGAGGTGTGAACTGGCCAGCAGGTGGTCGACAGGAGACTAGTGCTTTTGTTCTGCCCGTCGATAGGACGTGTGATAAAAGTGCATCGCCAGGGTATTTTTTTTTTCTGCAACTACTCGCGTAATTAAACCTCGGTGAGGGAAAAAAAGAGGAAAATTGTGTTCACATATGTTTCGGAAAAATTGAGCTTTCTCGGCTTGCTTCGACTTGCAGAGTGCTGTGAAAATGATCGGAGTGTGGTAATTAGTTGGAGCATCACAATTGGAGCGGAAAATTGAGTTTTCACCCGTAATTCCTTGGAAAAGCAACCTCTCGGGGAAGGACGAGCAGAAGTAGAGTGTGGAAGCTTGCAGGGTGCAGGAAGTTAGTCTTTTGTTGCGGTATTTGAACTGTGTGGAATTGCGTCTCAGTGACGAACACTGCGTTGCAGCACCTGTGGAAAGGTGCTGGTCGTTTAGGCCAGCTGGTAATTTTATCGGTCAGATCGGATCAGAGGCAGGTGGCTGCCGCTGCAACGCTGGATCTGATTCGGAAAAAGATGAAACCGTACCAGCCCTCGGACAAGTTGGTGGTACGGGACAGTGTGTCGCTCAGTATGGATGAAGAGCTGAGCGACGACGTCGAGGACGAGGTCTTCATCCGGGACGGGCGTACGTGTCGGACGTACGAGGACCGTGGGGCTAAGCGACCTCTGATGGCACCCAGGCACCGGGGAGGTAAAAATAGCAAATCAACAAGTTGCGGTACGTCTAGTCCGATTCTGAAGAAGTATCGCAGGAGACGTTGCTGGAATTGCTGCGAGCCATTCTGTTACGGATTAGCTGCCATCACTGTTCTCATTGGTGAGTATGAGTATGGTGGGTGGGTTGGCAAATTTTGCCATCCTTCGTCCCTCGACAGCAGGTTCAAGGACATAATGGTAATGAAATGCGGAACAATAGCGGGGTTTAAGAGAAAGAGTGTTAGAAAACACCATTCATTGTTTGGGCTGCTATTGTAAAGCTTGGAGTGTTCCATTTTGATTGTGCAATGCTTTAAACTACTCATACTTTTCGCACATATCTATAATTATGCTTTTTTAAATCATGATGCATTTGGTAATTGGACTACTAGGAGAATCGAGATTACGGTATATTCAAAATCAGTTTTTCCTTTTTTATTCAAGGTGATTAAGTTAATGTGGGCGGAAGCGGAATACCAAGGAAGATTAAATTATTAAAATTACGATTTTAAATGGTGTTCAACCCATACGAACCTTATGTCTAAATCCGCTTTTTTAAATTTTGGATGTTAATTGTGTTTCAAATTTTGACCTAGGTCTTTCTCGGGGGTGGCTTGACCTTGTCCGATGTGTATGAAATATTGCGTTATTTTTTAGCGGCCCGGTGGTGTAGTAGTAAGTGTGATTTCCTCTCACCCCAAAGGGCCTGGGTTCAATCCCAGTCGGCCCCAGCCCCAGGAGAAAGCTTGAAGGAAAGCATCCCAAAAATAATTAAAAGAGTTTTGAAGAGACTTCTGAATAAAGTGTTGTATGATTACAAAACAAAAAAAAAATCTTGACAACATAACACAAAGTAGGAGCAGATTTCTGACAAGGCTCTAACTTTGCTTTTCAGAAACGAATCCAAACCCCTTATAATATACCACCCAGGTATAATTTACAAATAATAAAATTAAGCAGGAATCTATTTTTTTAAAGAAGGACTCCTTTAGACGAGGCTTTAGAAAGATCATGTAACATGCCTAAGCAGATCTTGGATTACATGAAAAAAAGGTGTGGAATATCAGATTCAATAGCAATCTAGTAAATAGTTCCCGGGTATGATAGTCTCAAGAAGCAATTACAATTAAATTCATCAAAATCCACATTTCTCTATTCCCAAGAACTGCGAACTACGAATACCATGCTAAACAAACATTTCCACTTAAAATAAAACTCCTCGTTAAATTTTGGAGAAGTCGAGAAATTTTCCAATCCGAAAAATTCCTAGACCGGACCTGGAATTGAACCCAGCCACCTCCAGCATGGTCTTGCTTTGTAGCTGCGCCTTTACCGACTGAGCTAAGGGAGGCCCCCAAATTATTTATATTCACAAGGAAATGTCAAACTGAATTTGATATATACGTCTGCTTTTCACTACAGCCCAGTTAAACAATGAACTGTACTTTCAAAGGAAGCTAGAATAAATTCTAAGAAAGTCGGAAGAAAGTCCAAAAAGATGCTAGAAGAGTCTTCCAGGGGAAGTAAGATACATTTTTCTGGAGAAGCAGAATGAAATCTCTATGGAAAATCGATAGAAAATTCTGTGGAAAATCTGACAATTTCCGAAGCAAGTTATAAGATACAGGGGAATGCAGGATCCACCCGTTCGGGAAAAAGGGAAAAAAGTCAGGAATCCATTTGTTCAATCGGGAATTCAGTTTTTTATTTATTATTTGTATGAATGTAGTTTTTACAGTAGAATGCCCTAATTTGTAACCGATTGTTACAAAACTTAGGACACCGTTTCGGCCAAAATCTCCAAAGAGCGCATTCCTCGGGCCAAGACGGCTCTGAAAACAAAATAAGACCCTTCTCAGCAGAGTCACTCCGGCCTTGCCTGGACTCTGGTGATTCTTGTCAACGTGGGTAGACGCCAGGAGAACGGAGATCGTACCATTTAGTCAAGTCGACCACCAACCTGTCAGGCTTGATTCGCCTGACGTGAAGTCCGTAGTGTACGTAGCATCATCGACGATTGCTCGCACATCGGCAGAGTAGTCTTTCGGCAGAGCAGAATCAACGGCAGCAGCTCAGTACCAGTAGATTAAACCCCCATAATAAAATCCCTCCGTACACCCATAAAATTCAATAGTAGTTCTTTTAGAAAACCAATCCACACCTGCTGTCAGTGCTGATAAAAATCATTTATTCTACACTCAAAATAGCTGAAAATGAAGACAATCTTAACAGATAGACCAACTACTAGCATGAATCTGAATTTTGACATAACAACATTCTCTTGATTGAGGCAACCTCTGAGTTCATTTTACACAAATATAGCGCTGAAGGACGTATCGTGTAAGTTTTAATACACAAGCCGATGGCAAATTATTGCCTCATGCTGAATTGATGATAAAATCACGGTTTTAGGCTGTGGAGTCAATAATATTCAAAATAATCAATTTGCCCGAAATGAATTTGATTATTTTGCTTTTGAGGATCATTTCAGATTTTGACAATTTTGGACTGGATAATCAAGCACTGGCGAATATCAACAAACACGTATTCGTTGATGTATAATGAACTCATTTGTTCATTTCGCTCGTACGTAACAGCGAAGATTTTCAAAAGAAACGCAATTCATCTACACTGGGTTGAAGCGCTACTCCTTGCATGTGATGGTAAATGATAAAAACAGACACTGCCTGCTATAGCTTTTCTCAATAAAAACCAATTAGTATACACCCTTTGATTACTGTTTCACTTACACTTTACAAACTTTTAGTCATGTGACATTACTGCATATGTTGATCGTGAAGCCCCTCCAGATTACCCAGTAGTTAGCCGCCCTTGAGATACAGCTCGAAAAGTTTCTCGCTACTGAGCATTGTTACCGTTATACAGACAGAAGAGTTACACTTGGCGCCCAACGTGGGACTGATCCCGGTGGTACTGCAATATCGGGGTAACCCCTGGCGGAAGTGAAGCAAGCCCTTAACCGTTCCGCCCGTTTACAAAAATCAGTTTAACATTTGTTGTCTCCCTATGGGAGAGCTATCAGATGTTAAGCTGATAAGAACAGATACTACACTTTGATTATGTGTTTTGATCATAGCCTTTAGGCCGAGAAGCGATGATGGTGCAAGATGTGTACATTGGTGCGTGAGCTTCGACGACGGGTTCCATACCGTGTTCATGATAAATGAAAGAGCCGAGGAATCGGTTGTCAACACACTTAGAAATAACTACTTTTACACGAGACGTAATCCATATTGGACGTAAATCATGGAACGTAAACAATCATTTCATGTAAAATTAAACAAACTCAAACCGAAACATAAGCAACTCGACGAAGAGAACGTTTTATTGAATTGATTTTTTTTCGTTTCCTTCAACTAATTCTTATGTCAAAAGGCCCGCTTACATGTGTCGGTCTCAGGGAACCGAAATTTAAATTACTTTTTCGTAGTGTTAAGTTCCTTCAAGATAAGATCGAGATTGCTCTATCGCTTCCAACGCAGCCAGATCTTCCTTTTCCGCTGCTTGCAGGCAGCCTTTCGTTATGTACTGGAGAACATCGCCACTCACACCGCGGTGATTGAACCGTTTGGTGAGACCAGATGAAATTCAACTTTGAAATCTGTGTTAGGGAAATCGCTTTTCGCAGGCAATCATAGCAACAGTTGCACATTCGTGCAATTTTCAATAGTACCTTACCTTACCAATCAGACTAAGGCCTTGTTGTCCTCTGCTGTCCGAAGAAGTCGTCTCCACTCTACTCGATCCATGGCCACACTTCGCCAGCTTCGTAGTCTGTGAAGGGTCCACAAGTCGCCTTCTCATAGATTAACCTATCGCAGCCCGGGAAGCCGAGCGATTTGCAGTTCCATGTTCCGAGTTTCCAATCGTAGTCCTTATTTCGTCGCGTAGGTCTGTGCCGATTGTTCCGATCCGTATTTCTTTCTTCAGTATTTGCAACTTTATGTTTTTTTTCCAGGGTGGCTTGTTGGGACTGCCCCAACCCCCTGTCTCGCCTGGGGACCATCGTCCACAGCTCTGTTTAGAGTCCCACGCTGGCACTAGGACGGTGATCAGCAGCTCCTAACATGGAGAACAGACGCCGTTTTGAGCCGCACCTCACCGTACTAAAGGGTGATACGGTCAAAATTTGGTCAAGGGAAAACGCGTGTAAATCGGTGAAATCGTTTATTTAAAAAATCAAATTAAATTTCTTTTTCAAGTTCAATTAGTATAAAATTCAGGAAAAATATTCAGTTAGGCTTCCGCTTTTCCAAATCCGAATTGCCGGGCCTTACGCTTGACCCCTGCCATCAGATTTTGTACAGCCACCTTGTCCACCTTCTTCGCCGCAGAAAGCCAGTTTGCCTTGAACTGCTGCTCGCCCTTAGCAGTTTTTTTGGTCTTCTTTAGGTTCCGCTTGACAATAGCCCAGTATTTCTCAACTGGGCGGAGCTCTGGCGTGTTGGGAGGGTTCTTGTCCTTGGGAACCACCTGCACGTTGTTGGCGGCGTACCACTCCATGGCCTTTTTACCGTAATGGCAAGATGCCAAATCCGGCCAAAACAGTACGGAACAACCGTGTTTCTTCAGGAAAGGCAGCAGACGTTTATTCAAACACTCTTTCACGTAAATTTCTTGGTTGACAGTCCCGGAAGCTATGAAAATGCTGCTTTTCAAGCCACAGGTACAGATGGCTTGCCAAACCAGATATTTCTTTGCGAACTTTGACAGTTTCATGTGCTTGAAAACATCTGCTACCTTTCCCCTTCCTTTTGCCGTATAAAACTCCTGTCCCGGAAGCTGCTTGTAGTCGGCTTTGACGTAGGTTTCGTCGTCCATTACCACGCAGTCAAACTTCGTCAGCATCGTCGTGTACAGCCTCCGGGATCGCGCTTTGGCCGTCGTATTTTGTTTATCATCGCGATTTGGAGTCACTACCTTCTTGTAAGTCGATAGTCCGGCTCGTTTTTTGGCTCGATGCACGGTTGTAGACGATACATCCAGCTTATTTGCGGCATCTCGGAGAGAGAGGTTAGGGTTTCGCTTGAAACTACCGGCAACTCTCTTTGTCGTCTCAGCGGCTTCCGGTTTTCGATTTCCCCCCGATCCAGACTTCCTGGCTGTCGACAAACGTTCCCCAAACACTTTAATTACATTTGTAACGGTTGATTTGGCAACTTTTAGCGATTTTGCCAACTTTGCGTGCGAGTAGCTCGGATTTTCGCGATGCGCGAGCAAAATTTTGATACGCTGCTCTTCTTGCTTGGACGGCATTTTGACAACTGAAGAGTGAATTCCAAAATCAAAATAGGAGCAACATTCTACACACACACACCTTCAAAATGAGGGGTGTTCAGGTTTTTTTAAATGCAAAATTGAAAGAAATACGTCAAGTTGATATTGACCAAATTTTGACCGTATCACCCTTTATGGTTACCGCGGCAGTGTTCGCGTCGCACCTCTTCACTTTGCTATTGCCGGACTGGCAACATTGCCCAGACTACGCCACCCAGCTGTGTCCATGTTTTAGCTGGTATTCTTTTGTTATCATATGACTCGGGGAGGCGTGAAGTAGGAACTTGTGAGGACCAGGGCTAGGTATTCCGCTCCTTTCAGGTTGTCAACTCACCAATTTTCTATAGTGACATTTTGAAAAATGATAGAGCCTTAAATTTAACAGATGCGTAGAAATATTTCCGATCGATTGGTGATAAAATTATTGAAATTGGTCCAAGGCAGCTGAGTTATTAACGTTCAAAATCTTTCTCGGTTTACACAAAGTGTTCCCCCATATATAAATCACAGACGTAGTCCTACGTCAAAACTGCAGAGATTCAAAAATCAAAATCCCCGATAAACGGTAAAAAATTTTTCCGAAGGCTTGGCAAAATTTAACAGTTGTGGTAAATTTAGTTTTGCCGATCTCACGGCTATTAAATGTTTTACCAAGATGTTTGCTGAAGGCTCGGCTGTTGGATTCTCGGTACTTTTTTGCCAGGCTCAGCGAAAGAATCTAAATGTGTATGCTATCCAATTCTTAAATTTGTGTGACAAGCACCCAGGGAAGTGCTTTCACTGTGTAAGTGTCAGCCACCTCAGTCAGGAGCACTTCCGAGACTCCCTGACTCCAATGGCCTCAGGGTCGGTACGCTTACCGATTGCAATTACGCGGGGCAGGGAATGATCGCACGTGACACACAGTAAAAACTCCACAAGCACTTCAATACTCAAAATTAAAGATTTATTTCACTTCCCTGACACCTTTTACTCTCCCTCTTTTGTTCATCTACTTACTCCCTTATTCTCCCACTTTCTTACAATCTATCTGACCTGTTTTCTTCGTCGGGGCCCCTCGCAACACCTCCACCACGTGTCTTCGATCGTCGACCGTTTGTCCTTGGTCGACGTCCGCTTCCCCTCCACTTCCTCGTCGTGTACCTCCTTCGTGCGCTTGATGTACGAGGTGGCGATGACGAGCACCAGGTTACACTTCCTGGGCCTATGAGTTGGTGACGAACTCGGGTCGGCAGGCAATGACGGTGTAACCTTCCGGTACGTCTACCGGAACTTCACTGCGTACAGGTGATCTGTACTAAATACATTTGGTATTAGGACCATTTTAACCAAAATGGTAATTATTGCGGTTTACCTGCTGTCCTTGACTCTCTCCTCACACTTTTCCACTGTTTCCACTATTTCTTGCGTAACTTTAGCTAGCTTGCTTGCTTGATGAACCGTTTTCGCTGGTGGTCTTACGATCAGTGCTTATTAATTTAAAAGTTGAGTGATTCATTGGGTCACTGCTCCAGGCTGTCGGCCAGTGACCCGGGCCATTCGTCGTTCATCGCCACTTTGTCGTGCCCGTTATCCTCCATACAAAATGGCCATCTCTATCGCCACCCCCATGGCCTCCCAACAGGCAGTTGTTTGTCCATCTGGTGGCGGGTTTTTGCAATTTTCGGTGGGGTGGATTGTTGCGTTCTACAGTAAGCTGTCCTACCTCTGCCTACTATGGAGTTTGACAACGGAGAAAACTACACAACACTCACGAACATTACCTGCCATTTTTTTTACACCTTAACGGAACTAAACAAAAAACCACGATAATCTAAAAAATACTCGAAACAAAGACACTAGCACTTACATCTGACTTACACACTTAGATTTTTTGCCGAGATGGGCACCAGTGATCTCAGTGAAAAACTTGCCGCGAGTCAGCTAGCAAACGGGAATTTTGCCGATATCTCAGCTAACAAACATCAATTTTGCTGAATCTCGGCAAATTTCTATCTAAGTGTGTAGGCTGAGGCTCCAAACTAGCGAATGATGACTGTAATGATGCAATTTGGAAATGTAATGCTCATACCCAGATGACCTGATTTCGACCTGTTCTCGTGATTGAACCATTCAAGCAATTAGCATTGAACTTGGAACGAAAGCTACCTATGCCCCACGCATGACGACCGTTAACTACGAAGTGAAAACTCCAAAGCAGTGCCTATGCATGGAGACGCATTATCCGTCGTGCGGTTACTCCGCACTTCTATCTGCCGCCAGCAGCATAATTATTTGAGATTGCATTTTAATTCAATTTTCCCTATTCGCCAGGTCTTATCGTCTTGGCAGCACTCCTACTGACGGCCTTCCCTCAGCCACTGCAGAAGATCAAAGTCTGGTTCCATAAGGAGTCCCCCTTCGTCATCCGGGACAAGTTCAACAATTTCCTGTACAACGGAATCGAAACGACCAACGACTCAATGGAAATTGTGCCATGTACTCGCATTACGGTGCAGAAGGTTTGGTCCCGGGTTGTGGCCAGGGTGAACAGTGAAAGCCCACTGCGAAAGTTGGACGTCAACGGAGATGGAGTGCTGGATGTGATCGTTGGCTATGGGATCGACGAGATGATCGATGATACGCATGGATTCATACCGAGATGTACCTCGCTGAAGACGAATCTGACGGATGTGTGTGGAGGGGGATTGCTGGCACTGAACGGGATCAATGGCGATACGCTGTGGCAGAAGTGGACGTCGTTTACGATCTTTTCGCTGAAGTGTACTATCGATATCAACGCGGATGGGCAGAACGATTGTGTGGCTGCTGGGAGGGGAGGTCTAATCCTTGCGGTTAACGGTCGAGATGGAAATATTCTGTGGGAGCTGAAGGACTATTCGGATTTGGAGAGCTACTCGGACACAAGCATAGATCTGTACACGATCAATGTGGTGCGGGATCTGAATAACGATGGGATCGCGGATGTTTTGGCGGTTCATCTAGAGGAATCGCTGAGAGCGCACGGTGGGCACATTAAGCTTATTTCCGGAGCTTCGGGAATAATTTTGAAAAGTATTCCGACACCCTATCGGGAGGAGATGTTCGTGCCGATTCAGGAGTTGCTGGGCAAAGATGGTTCAGAGCAGTTTCTGTTGGTGACAGGAGGGCAAAATTCAGCCGGGGGAATTTACACGCTAAAGCAGGAGAGTCTGATGAAGTTTAACAACGAGAAAGATTTCGTTCCGGTTATGAGAATCGATGCGTCCGGGTTCATGGTGCCAGCAGTGCTAACGGACATCAACGGCGACTCAGTGGATGACATTGTTGTGAATTCATTCAATTCAACGATTTACGCCTTCGATGGAGTCAGCAAGAAACAGTTGTGGGCCTATTCAATTCCTGGTAAGTTGGGTAGGGTTGTGAACACCATGATCCAAAACTGACTGGAATTTTTCTTTGTAGATTCGGAGAGTGTCAGCTCGATCGTGCCTGGACATTTCGATCACGATAATGTCACGGATTTCATGGTAAAGTACAACACTGGGCCAGGTTTTCCGATCTACTACTATTCGCAGACCACGGTTCTTAACGGAAGCAACGGGCAACCTTTATTGGACAACACGGTGAAGGATTCCGGTGGCCCCAATAGTCTACTTGGAGGTTTGAGCATTGCGCAGACAGGTGGGGGAGATTTTTTCCTGCACTGGCAGCTGCAGTGCCGAAACAAGTATGAAACCACAGATGAGTACCAATTCATTCCTGGTGAGTTGCAGCAGTTTGATCGCAATTAAAGGAGTTCTCAAGCTTTTCTGCGTCCCTTTTTAAAATAATTCGATACAAGTTTACCGTGGGTTTTACTGAATTTCATAATTTTCAACACTATTGCCATGGTTTTAGTGATCTCGTTGTAGATTGCACGAATTCACCAATAGTGCAGAACTCGTGATCCATTGTCATTTTGCAATTCAAGATGATAGATCTGTTTTGCCTAAAAGAAACTTCTCCCAAAATAGCGGATTTTAGTGTGAGTCGAGAACAAAATGCATATCATTGATTTTGTTATGGTAAACATTTTCCATAAGCACTTTTTGTCATTGAACGTAATCTTTTAGAAAAATATCAATTAGGACAATCTTTGAGGCAAGATGCCGGTATTACAATAATTTCATGGCCCCCGCAGAAAAGCTTGACAACCCGCTCTACTTAGGTTTAGAACCACAGGTTGGTGAAGCTAAATATATTCTTCCAGAGAGTGACGTAATTCAGCAATCCCGAGCGGACACCTGCAGGCTCCGCTACAATCAGTCTTCGGTCCTGAAGTTGTACACCATCAACCGCCATGTGGAACCACCGGGAGCGGTCATCTTCTCCTCGGACGACCTAACCATCAAGATGAACGAAACGATCAGCGAGCAGTTGGGAGGAAAATACGTTGCTCCGATCAAGCATCCCAAAATGAAGCTGAAGGTGAAGGACGACGGTCGAAGAGCAAGTGAAAATCGACAAGCTCAAGTTCGCATGGACAAAAAGCTGGATTTGCACAGCGCTCCACCTGCTGAGGTGGTGGAAGGAATTTCTGAGGATATCGGAGTGGTGATGACCGGTCCGAAACAGGTTGCCTCTGATCTAAGGAAACAGAAGCTACGGGAACAAATGTTGAACACCAATCAAATTCCGGAGACTTTGGAGGTTGAAGAGGAGAGGAAGCGAAAGCAAAAGACGAATCTGAATAACGTTTACAAGAAGTTCACGTACAATACGAATGACGGCGATGAGCTGTTCAACGGCATTGAGCAGGATAAACCCTACCTCTACTTACCTTACGATCAAGTGGATTCGGATACGGTTTGTTACTCAGTTTGCCTTTGCATTTTCTCAAATATTGATAAATCTGACACCATTATAGCGCAATCCGTTCCTGCAGAACCAGATGCCACCTGCTGCACCAGCACCGCCAGATTATGACTATTCTGGAGTTAACGACGAAGATGTTCCACCTGGCTATCAACGTCCTCGCTACAGGAACATTGGCAATCGTTATCCCGGGGGAAGGGATGTCCGCAGCAAGTTTGGGGCATTCGGTAAGGTCCGGTCTTGCGATATTGTGAACTGTTCTTAATATTTCTTTGATTTTTCACAGATGACACTGACTTGCATGATCCTAGTCTGGAAGAACAGGTGTTCAACGAATCTAACCCCAACTCTTTGATCGTTAAAAAAGTTCTTCTGAACGATGAGATACTTGAGGAATTGAAGGAGAATGGAAGCAGCTCTAAAGGTTCTAAGGAGACATTATGGGATCTGGAGTTGGAAAAGGAAGCTAAGGAGGCCATCAATGGTATGATAATTAAATTGTCCTAATAAGCTACACATGTCTACAACCAATTCAAATTATAGACGTCAGTGCCCTTAACTTTGACTACAATAAGGAAAAGCGCCAGGCAGATATAACAGCAAACTCTTCCCAACCTTCAACTATGCCTCCTCCTCCGACGACCACCGAGTCACCTCCGAACGATAATATTCTTCCCTCGATCGCGTCCACAGGGCTCCTGCTCAAGTCCCTCAGCACTTCCCCTAAGCAACCAACCATAGACTACGTCTTCGTGATGAATATCCGTGAGTCGGAGACGTATCCACCGCTGTTCCTGGAACAGGATATGACCTGTGTTCAGGAAAAGCTCTCCGCGTACCGTACCTACAGTAGCGAAGATCTTCTACACCTGGAGCAGAAATTCCTGAAACGATGTCTCGAGGAAAGACTCCCCAACGTGAAACCAAGCTATCAACGGTTCGAAACGCAAATCATTGTCACGCGGTTGGAGATAGGTTGCTCTTGTCCGGACGATCTGAACCTCAAGCGTGAGGTGTGCTCCAGGTTGCATAGCTACGATCAGCAACGATGGACTGAGTACATGGGCAATGCCGGCAGTGGCGTCTACTGAGATCAGGGTGGAGAGGGTGAGATGGTGTAACGGATGACGGTGAAGACACAGGACACCACTATAACCGTAGAAAACATTTCTTTCCGTGTAGGGTAGGAACTCATCCTTTTCCAATACAATTATTGAGCCCTTCTATGGCTTTGGTTCTTCCAAAAAATAAAAACGTGCAAAACAATAGAAGGTACCATACAATCGCTACGCAAAACTTCAACTGAACTACTACGACACAACTATGTACAAAATCTACTATTAAATCTACTTTATAAACTGCTACTGATAGAAAAGTTTATGGAGGATGTGAACTGGTGAAGGAAGCCATTGTTGAGACAAACTGACAATTCAATCAAATCTATTTATGTTGAAAGGAAAATTGGTTTTAAAAATGGATAAATTTGGATTGGTTTTATATAACTAGAAAAGTTAATTTTGTTGAACTACATGTATAAATAGAACAATGTATCAAATAATAATAAAACATTTAGAAATAAACATATTGCAAATGGCTTATAAACAGAAAAATACAAGACACAAGTAAAATAAAACTTTCATATTTATTTTTTAAACAGGGCAGTATCATAGTTTATTTGTAGATAAGTGTATTAAAATGAAAAAACAATTAAAAATCTGGAAAGCAGCGAGGTTGAATGAATGTACGATCTCGATTTGATGGAATGTGTAAATAAAGGCGTCAGAGAAGATTGGATTGCTGTTTTTTGATCCTAGGTTTCCATTACTCTCTTCGCACTTTAAGAATCTGTCGTGCCCTCCGAGGGGGACGACTCTCTCTACGATGCAGCGCAGAAAAGACCAGGGGAAACATGTCAGAAGGGTATAACTCGAAACGTAAACAATGACTTTGAACGTCACTCACGGAATCTGATAACACTAGCTCATAGAATAAACTTTTCTCTGTCAGATGATTTAGTTAGTTTGAGTGGGTATGTAGTCATTTAAAAGAAACCAACGATCCAAGTCATTGTTTACGTTTCGAGTTAGATCCTTCTGACATGTTTAGGGGAGATTGTGTTTAGCTGTGGCTAACTGCGCGCATGCTGAGTAGATAGAAAGAAGATTGATGACGATTATGAACATTTCCTGCAAAAAGATGATACACGATGCAAGTAGATACTCGAGTAGATACGAAATATGATAGATGATTTTTCGAAAATTGATTCACTTGTGTGAGATTTTTTGAGCATTTAGAATTGAGATTTGGATGTGCCTCCCCCCCCCCTCCCTCAGTGCCCTCTTAAACGCTGTCCAGACTGGGGAGTTATAACATGTTATAACGGTTGTCAAATAATTGCAACACAGAAACCACCATCAAGATAGCGCTATAACATGTTATAACTCTGTAGTCTGAACGTACTATTAAACGCTGTCCAGACTGGAGAGTTATAACATGTTATAACGGTTGTCAAATAATTTCAACACAGAAACCACCATCAAGATAGCGCTATAACATGTTATAACTCTGTAGTCTGAACGTACTATTATAGTACGTTCAGACTACAGAGTTATAACATGTTATAGCGCTATCTTGATGGTGGTTTCTGTGTTGCAATTTTTTGACAACCGTTATAACATGTTATAACTCTCCAGTCTGGACAGCGTTTTAGGCTGTGTTTCATTTATTGAATTTTCACTTAAATTTGACAGATGGATAATTTTAAAATAAACCTGCTATTCCAGCAGACTTATTTCTGACAGGCAAAGAATCAATCTTGACACAAATCTTCTCGAAAATCGGCCGATCAACAACAGAGGGATTTTCGAACATCATAATTTATTTTCTAAGGCTGTGAACCATTTGCCGAGTTAAATTTAACTCGTGGTTAAAAGTGACATATCGAAAGTTATTTCTTATGTTCGAAAATCCCCGTGCTGTCGATCGACCGGTTTTCGAGCCATGGTCGTCAAAATTTAACTTCTTGTCTGTCAGAAATAACCATGCTCGGATAGCAGGGTTAATCGATAACTTTCCATCTGTCAAATTTTAACCAAAAGTTAAAAAAATTCGCCAAATGGTTCAGAGCCTAAGTGTCAAATTTAAGTAAAACATTTCCAAATGGAAAACAGCCTTAGGCAGTGAACCATTTGCTGAGTTAAATTTAACTCGTGGTTAAAAGTGACATTTCGAAAGTTATTTTCTATTCTATTAATCCCCATGCTGTCGATCGACCGGTTTTCGAGCCACAGTTGGCAAAATTTAACTGTCAGAACTAACCATGCTCGGATAGCAGGGTTGATCGATAACTTTCCATCTGTCAAATTTTAACCAAAAGTAAAATAATCCACCAAATGGTTCAGAGCCTTAGTATTGAGTAGTAAACATGACAGATGTCATTGTGATGGTGAATCTAGTAAACAAAGCGGTACGTCTGTAATCAAATATTACAGTAACAGAGGATCGGAGTGTCCGCAACCGAGAATCGATAATCCGTAAAGTAAAGTACCACAGAATCTATTACCAACTTTGATAAATTATTACCGAACTTTCAGCTATCTGATAAACTATGAACATTTTTTTCAATGGTCCCTTAAACAAATTTTAGGTAATTCGTGACATGCCCGGGTATGATATAAAAGAAGTAGTGTCCTTCAGATAGGCTTTGTGCTAATCACTACCAGTATCGTCCTCTACATTTCAATCTTTTTAGTTTTGAAGGTAAATCAAAACAAAGCCTCCACCACAATAGATCACTGCACGAGCTGGCTAACCTCACTTTGGTTTGACATTTTTGCCGGGTTTGTTTTGCTCGCTATTTTTTCTTCTGCTTTGATGTTTACTTTCTGTTCGCCCGCCAGTCAGTTTTTAGCAGTGCTTGCAGATATGAAAATCAAAGCAAGCTTTAAAGCGAACTATTTTTTTGAACGCTGCTTGAGTGTTTGAGTTGAAGTTTAAGGATGCAGAAAATCGTAAAACTTTCTGTTTACGCCAATTTATTGCCGGACGCCAGTCGAAAAAGGTTTGTCGAAAAAATTCAAGTGTTGGGTTTTGTTGATCCATACGATGCCAAGCTTAACAAAGAAGATTTTCCGACAAATGTGACTACGGGACATGTTGTGGATTATTTGTTAAACCAGATTTCTGCTTCATCCGGAAATTATCTAACCAATGTAAGAAGCATTGAAGCTTACAAAAAGTATGAATCAGGTTTCATCCAAAATGTAATGGGAAGAAAAATCAATAATTTCTTTGTGGTACGAGGCCGGGTAAGTTTTTTTTTTTATCTTGAAATTTAGTTTCCAAGGTCAATACAAATTATACTTCAAGTGGTGCATTCTATGAGGCTTGATAAACCAGCTTTAAACGCGTGGCTAATAGTACGGAAGAATGGGACTATTGCATCAGGGCATTGCAACTGTGTAGCAGGTCTAAGCGAAACCTGTTCGCGCTTTGCTATAGACGGATTTCACGCCAACTCATCCAGTGGTTGGCAGCACCCTCTCAGAACCTTATGGAACTTTGTGGGTGTGGAGACTTAGCAATTTTAAGCAACTTTGCGTACTTATTTTTTTCAAAATTTATCTCGCCTAACATTTGATAAGGGTCAAAGTTTTTTGTCGATTTTTTTTTCAAATCGATATAGCTTAAAAATGACAAGCCCTACAAAAAAGTGATGTATGGCGAACTTTTAGCAAATAATCTGAAATTTTATAAAATAATTTAAATAAAATAAAAAATCGGTTTCTACACTCTAAAAAAATATATTTAAAAATTAAAAGTCATTTTCCCAAAAATGGTACCCCTCAGATTTGCTTGATATTTTTTCTCATGAAAGGCAATATAATTACCTAACTTTTCTTCATACATCGCAAAGTGGGCGCTTTTAAGGAAAAAAAGTTGTTCGAACAACAACTTTTTCATGTTAATTTTTTTTTAGCGTGTTTCACTCAAAGTCGAATAATAATACGCGCACAACCTTATTAAAATTCGATTAAACTTTATGGGTATACTTTTCGATAATCTGGGCGAAATCTAGCCTAACATTTGAAAAGGGTACAGAGAAGTTACCTGCAAATCGTCCAATAAGAGTTCAGAACAAAACGTTCTAATGAGGAACAGCCATCTCAGCATGGTTTGCACTTTCCTGTGATGGATTGTATTATAATATATGCATACACTCTATCCAACTTCTATAAAACCACCCTCAAATTGTTCCAAATCAACAGGTAAACTAAGTAAAAATCACTTAGTATGTTTTATTCATGAAAAGATTTCAATTCATATATTTGTGATTAATTTAATTAGAAAAATAATCATTCATTTATTTTTATGTATTAGGTGTGTCCATTAGTAAGCAATATGCATATATGTTTATACCTCATCTCTCAAGTGAATACATATAATAGCGCAGGTAACTTAACGATTATTTAAGGCATGCCTAAAATAATCGTTAAGTTACCTGCTATATAGCAGTTATATAACAACGCAGGTAGTCACATGAGAGATATAAGGTATAAACTTAAAGCACCGCAGTCTGTTTCTACCGACATAATCTAATATTTAAGTTTGGTGATATCACAACAATGCTCATAGTTGCTGTAGTGCATAGTTGTTGAAAGTGTAGTGCTGCATAGTTGTTGAAACGAAAAAGTGTTTATATATACAACAATGGAAAAATCTGCTGAATTGATTATTAAAAGGGTGCAATGTAGTGCCAACATAAACAATCCCAATTGCAGCCGCAATAATTTACGTAATTTATCATCAAGTCTCATAGAGAAAATACATTCATGGGGCTTTGATCATCAATTGGATGTAACAATGCGTATTTGTGAATCGTGTCGTGGAATTTTAGTGCACAATAGGACACCTCTCCCGAAAAAGAGGCGATCGGATGGAAAAGAATCAAGCCATGCTCGGAAGTTTGAAGAGCCGCAACCATCAACAAGTCATCAGCAATCAGAACATCAGGAATTTGATGATACACTAGGTAAATAATAATAACTTTAACTGTTTCAACTGTGTGGTTTAAGGATTGTACATCGAAGATGCAACTTCATTTTCAACATTTTTTTAGAGCACGAGCTGGATGAACCGCTTATCGTACAAATTTGATCGATTGGTAGGCCAACCTCGGTGAACAATCTATCAAATTTTCACGACTGTACGATATGCGGTTTATGCAGCTCGTGCTCCACAAACATGGGGAAAATTCAGATGCGGCTTCGATGTACCGTAAACGGGGATGTCTTTGATAATGGAGGTAACTTTGATAATGCAGCTAATCCAAAAAGTTATGACTTAATGCTCTTCGTATTCATTATTTTGGAAGGGAACATCGGTTTCCTATCCAAAATATTGCGTACGATGTGCCTTAAGTCATAAATTTTTGGCTTAGCTGCATTACCAAAGTTACCCCTATTATCAAAACCACCCCCGTTCATGGTACTATCACCTTAACAGCGTTATATATTAATGTGTGGTAATATTTTTTTTCTTTAATTTTACAGATACAGATCCATCGCTAGAATCAATCCCATCAGCGGATCAGATCCAAGGTCCATATAATGTGGAACAATTCAATTGTATAGCTTCAACCTTACAGTTATCACCAATTTCATCGAGAAGTATGAGAAGTATGAATTATCGTGTTCAAAAATCTGCAGAGATCACAAAGGCAGTGCGTAAAAATATATTTGGGATGGATTCAGACGATGTCAACAAATCAAATGATTTTGACGAAATGATCATGCAGTTAAAGGAGAAATTTAATTTGCCTTCTACGAGTACAAATGACAAATTAAAAGTGTTATCAGTGCTCCCTAAATCATGGTCAGTGAATCAAATAGTTAATGAGTTTAATGCACCCCATCATACAGTGAAACAGATGAAAAGGCTAGTCAGAGAACAAGGTATTCTTTGTAGTAAGAAAGCAAGAAGTGGTCATGGATTTAATGATACTGAAAAACAAATTGTTTTAAATTTCTTTGACAGTGATGATATTAGTAGGCCTATGCCAGGAAGTAATGATTATGTTTCTGAATATCGAAATGGATATAAAGAGCATGTTCAGAAACGTTTATTTATGATGTCTCTTAAAGAGGCTTTTATGATTTTTGAAGAGAAATACAAAAGTGTTAAAATCGGATTTACTTCGTTCACTCAGCTCCGACCAAAGCATTGCATACTGTTGGATAGTACAGGTACACATAATGTATGTGTCTGTACTATACATGAAAATGTTAAATTGATTATTAATAGTGTAAAATTTGATTCATATAAAGAAATTGCAGACAAAATACTTTGCAGTAGTCCTATTAGAACCATAGATTGTTTTTATCGTACATGTGAAGAATGCATTTCCACAGATAGTATCGTGAGGGAACTTACATCAGTATTAGAAGCAGATGATATGGAAGAAGTTTTATTTCAACAGTGGTTGACTACCGACCGTTGTAATTTGGAAACTATTATTAAACCTGCAGATGAGTTTGTTCAATATTTGACGGAAAAAGTTGAAAAGCTCATAACCCATGATTTTATTCATAAAGAGCAATCATCTTACCTAAGTAATAAAAAAAATTCTCTTCAAAACGGTGAAATTTTAGTGATTTGCGACTTTTCTGAAAATTATTCATTTATTATTCAAAACTCAGCACAGGGGTATCATTGGAACAATAATCAAGCTACGATACATCCTTTCGAAATTTACTACATAAAAGAAAACAAGTTGGAAAATTTAAGCTTTATTATTATTTCAGAAGTATTGACCCATGATACAATAGCAGTTCTTTCATGTCAGATGGAGCAGCGGCTCATTACAAAAATAAAAAGAATTTTTCCAGTTTGTGCAACTTCAAGTCCAAGTATGGATTGGAAGCAGAATGGCACTCCTTCGCAACGTCTCATGGGAAAGGCCCATGTGACGCAATTGGAGGAACTCTCAAACGAATGGCAAAGAGAGCAAGTCTTGCTCGAGATTATGGAAACACAATCACAACTCCACAAGAACTGTATGACTGGGCAGTTAAACAAACAGATACAAGCATAACAAAATTGAACTTCTGCTTCATATCAAATGATCAATACACAAAGATGAACTCAAGGAGCTGTTCAGTCATGTAAAAACTATACCTGGTACACAAAAATTTCATTGTTTTGTACCTATTTCTCAAAACATAATTTCTACTAAGCGATTTTCACATTCAAAGGAAACTCCGAAAAATTTCACTCTGTTTCCGATAGACTAATAATCAATGAAAAACTCAAATTATGTATGGAGAATTATAGGAAAATAAATTATGCACTAAACAAAAACACTAGAGTTTTCATTTATTAAAACACCATTCGAAATGCAGGAAAATCCTCTGTATTAGGCCCTTTCAAATGTTAGGCTAGATTTTTGTTTTAAGCACGCCCAGATTATCAAAAGGTCAAAATCTTTATGCTCATTAAGTTTCAACGGATTTTAATAAGGTTGTGCGCGTATTACTATTCGACTTTGAGTGAAACACGCTAAAAAAAAATTAACATGAAAAAGTTGTTGTTCGAACAACTTTTTTTCCTTAAAAGCGCCCACTTTGCGATGTATGAAGAAAAGTTAGGTAATTATATTGCCTTTCATGAGAAAAAATATCAAGCAAATCTGAGGGGTACCATTTTTGGGAAAATGACTTTTAATTTTTAAATATATTTTTTTAGAGTGTAGAAACCAATTTTTTAATTTATTTAAATTTTTTTATAAAATTTCAGATTATTTGCTAAAAATTCGCCATACATCACTATTTTGTAGGGCTTGTCATTTTTAAGCTATATCGATTTGAAAAAAAAATCGACAAAAAACTTTGACCCTTATCAAATGTTAGGCGAGATAAATTTTGAAAAAAATAAGTACTCAAAGTTGCTTAAAATTGCTAAGTCTCCACACCCACAAAGTTTCATAAGGTTCTGAGAGGGTGCTGCCAACTCCGAAGACGAGTTGGCGTGAAATATTTTATATATATGCTTTGGCAAATCTACACTCCGCTAAAAACTCCAAACCCCTTTGCTTCAAAACCAGCTTTTCCTCCAACCCAAGTTGTGGTTCTGAATTCGTGCCAGTTCGGTTCGATAAATTTGGAGTTTTTTTCTCAGCATCTAACGCTCTATACAAATAATTGTCTGAAACACAGTAAAGCAAATTATATGTTGAAAAACGTTATTTTTTTCTGGGTGAACAAACCAGTCGGAACTGAAGGTGAAGTGAGCTCCTCGGTGAGTTCCTTATTTTCATCAAACGAGGCTTCGATGTATGATTCGGACGATAACTTCGGGGAAGTTATATGCTCCAGTTCTTCATCAAAAATTTTAGCTGGTTCTGGATCAGGTTGTGTTGATTGATTTATAGGGTTCGAGGCACTTGGCAGGTTATCCTCTAGTTTATCATTGTTGGCATCATCTGTGCAGCACTGTGCTGTGTTCTTAATTGGTAAGAATAATGATGGAACCCAATCCGGGTTGTTCACATCTGTTGATTTAGCTGGTATTCCTATTGTTCGACAAGTAACCTTATTATTCAATCAATACTAATTAATTAACTTTCAAGTTAAATCTAACCTGAGAAAAAATGTCTACCGCATACATATTTCGTACTCCATCTCAAAGTATCTTTCAAACCTAGAGCAACAAGCCATCGATCTCTTCGAAGTATATTAAGCCGGCTGATAAATGAGCTCTAATCCAACGAAAGGAAGCTGTACATGCTTCGAGCTGATTCGGACGTATGACAATGGTTCAACACACAAACTTTCGGCATTTTAAAACAGATATAAATAATCAAAAAACATTGGACGATACAACCGGAGATCAGCTTCACAGTTTGACGCCTACAAACATTCAGTTAAATCGACTTGCTTTGATTTTTGTATCTGCACGCACTGCTAATGACTGACTGACGAGCGAACCGAAAGTAAACATCAAAGCAGAAGAGAAAATAGCGAGCAAAACAAACCCGGCAAAAATGTCAAACGAAAGTTAGGTTAGGATTGATGCAGTGATCTATAGGATTTTCAACTCACATTCAATCTTCAGTGCACCATGCGAGTTAAGTCGAGCAAGTTAAGTCGAGCAATATTCTCTTTGTATCTCCACGGCCATGCCTAATAAAAATAACCATAAAAGAGAGCTTAACGACGTGTTCGAGGTATCATCCAAACCATTTGTGGGATAGTTTTCCCATCCGGGATACAGTTCATTGGTGGTATTTGTTTATTAGGGGTCCATCATATGATCCACCCATATCGGTCAAAAGTACTCCTACTACCAACTCAAAAGCAGCACCGTACTTAGCCACCAAATTTAGGGATGAACAAATTGCTCCAATGTTCCTTGAACATATACAAAGTTCCCATATCATTACGTTAAAAAAACTTGAACCTTTCTACGAATTTTCCTAAGCATCTGGGCGAAGCATCGGGCGAAACAATGTCCTTAAAACTTCCAGTAAGTTTCCTATATCTGAAGTTCTAACAAGTATGTTGAACTTCTACAATACTCCTTGAGCTTCTACAAAACTCCCTGATCTTCTACGACATTCACTTAGCTTCTACAAATTTGGCTGAAAAAAAAATCACAGCATATCAAGTTTTAGGAAGTTCCTTGAATTGCTACGTTCCCTGAACTTTTAAGAATTTCGTTGATTTTCTGTGAAGTTCTACAAAGCTTCCTGAATTTATACGAAATTTCCTGATCAATTTTAAGTCCGTTAGACTTGAACGAAGTGCCCTGAAGCTAAATAAAATTTTAAGAAGTTTATTAAAATAAAACAAAGGTCCCTTACCTTCAACGAAGTTTCCCAAACGTGTACAAGGTTCAAAATTCTACGAAGATTTCCCGAATTTTCACAAAGCACCAAATTTCTTTGAAATTATCAAGGAGCTGTCAATTTGGGTATTTTCGATTCATCTACACTAGATCACTCACACACTCTAGATTTCTAGCTGTCAGTTATGCCGCGGATACACTTGTATGACAAACTATGAACATGAGCATCATTTGTATAATAAATTATGAGCACATCCATGGTCACACTTGTATAGTTGTTGTATATTGCTCGTATACAAACCATGCTCATGCTCATGCTCATAGTTTGTCATCTAAGTGTATCCGTTACATTGCATTACACTGAGAAACGTCTCTTGGATCACCTTATACCACCTTGTGTATTCTTGTTGAACTGTAAGAAAAGTATCATCAAACTGCATGGCTCCCAATGACGGTTCGTGACAGCTTGATTCTGGCTCCTTTTTGACGTTCAAATTTTTCGAGTTTGCTTCTCCCTCCCAGGGTCACATCAGCATGAATTGCGTTGATCGATATTATTTTTATGGTGAACCTTTAGTGATCATTTCCGAACACCTGACACAGTAGATTCGTCTTGGTCAGAGAAAGATTTCAACAAAAATAAAAAAATACCTCAAACGGCAGCACTGCAGTGGAAATATTTCACACTTGCTGTCAAAAAGCTTCGAAACGTCACAACAATCAACCCGGTCGTGGTGCGTTTTTCTTCCTTTCGTCGCCTCGTTCACGGAGAAATCCGTAATTTTGTCGCAAAAAAAACCCAAGAATCCGATTTATCATTTCCATTTTTCTCGTGCAATCATCCGCGAGGTTGTCGATCCATCATGGGTATCCTGGAGAAAATCTCCGATATCGAGAAGGAAATCGCCAAAACCCAAAAGAATAAAGGTAACCAACAAGTTTTTGTTTTGATTCTGGATGTTGACCGGATGATTGAACTTTCTCCACAGCCACCGAGTACCATTTGGGGTTGCTGAAGGCGAAGCTCGCCAAGTACCGGTCGCAACTGCTAGAACCCTCGAAGAAGGGCGAAAAGGGTGAAGGTTTCGATGTGCTGAAATCGGGTGACGCTCGAATTGCGCTCATCGGGTTCCCTTCGGTCGGTAAGTCCACGCTGCTGTCGACGCTGACCAAAACGGAATCCGAAGCGGCCAACTACGAGTTTACGACGCTGACCTGTATTCCGGGTGTAATTGACTACAAGGGAGCGAATATTCAGCTACTGGATCTACCGGGAATCATTGAGGGTGCCGCCCAGGGTAAGGGCCGTGGACGGCAGGTTATTGCCGTGGCTCGGACGGCAGATCTGGTACTGATGATGTTGGATGCTACGAAGCCGAACGTGCACCGGGAGCTGCTGGAGTACGAGTTGGAATCGGTGGGGCTGAGATTGAACAAGCGGAAACCTAATATCTACTTCAAGATCAAGAAGGGTGGTGGCGTGAGCTTCAATTCGACCTGTCCGCTGACGAGGTGCAACGAGAAGATGGTACAGACGATTTTGCACTCGTTTAAGATTTTCAACGCGGAGGTGCTGTTCAGGGAGGATTGCAACGAAGATGAGTTCATCGACGTGGTTTCGGGCAATCGGATCTACTTGCCGTGCATCTACGTTTACAACAAGATTGATCAGATTTCGATCGAGGAGGTGGATCGGCTGGCGCGGCAGGACTTCAGCGTGGTGGTCAGTTGTAATATGCATCTGAATTTGGACTACCTGCTGGAGGTACTTTGGGAACATCTGATGCTGATTAGAGTGTACACGAAGAAGCCCGGTGCGCCTCCGGATTTCGACGATGGATTGATTCTGAGAAGGGTAAGACGCCCCGGGGAATATCCGATATTGTAACGGTGAATCATTTTTTATGTTTCAGGGCGTCTCAGTAGAGCATGTGTGCCACGCGATCCATCGAACACTGGCGGATCAGTTCAAGTACGCGTTGGTTTGGGGTACTTCCACGAAATATTCTCCACAGCGAGTCGGAATTTCGCACATCATGCAAGACGAAGACGTTATTCAGGTTGTTAAAAAGTAAGCCGCTTGGATCGCCGTACGAACAGGTAGGTTTGCTTGGAACTTTTTTATGCAGCGTCTTCATACGCATCATCCTCTTATACCAACTGAATTTGCGATTGCTTGGGAAACGAGCTCATCGAGGATTGAAAATAGTTAGAAAGTCGATCAACGCCCCATGAAGAGAAGTGGTTAATCATTTATTATTACAATATAACTATTACGTAACGCAACGAACAGTTTAAGCAAATTCTAGTCATCCGAAAGCCTTGGGATTTATTGGTTTACAGGTTTTTCACTTTGAATTACAATTACGTTCTCGGAAGGCAGCAAAGCGGGCAGTTCATGTGATTGTTTATCAACCACGAGTCAATACATTTGTGATGGAATCCATGGCCGCATTGCAGGAAACGGTACAGATTTTCATCATGCCCCAGCTTTGCAGAGCAAATGTTACAGGATGCCCTGAAATTACAAAACGTGGGCGGTTGTAATCCCATACTGGTGGTTAAAGCATGTGCTTACCCATCGGCATCAAAGGACCAGGAAGGATTTCCTTTCGAATAGGACGATGCCCCATACTGGAGCGTTTTGAACACGTGTTCCACATCTGAAATCAATCGCAAGCAAAAAATCATCTTTCCAGTGGGATCTTCGCGACACTAGCCAAACATACCGGTGCTGAAACTCATGTGTCCATTCTCAATGTGGAACGCCAAGCTCCAATCGAGCAGATCCGACCCATAGCGTCCTATGCGGAACATGACGCAAACCGGACAGCGAACCTTGCCATTGCATTCCGCATGCAGAGCCTTCACATGCGCGAGCAACGTCGTCAAGCTGAACCCATCGTTGCCACAGTGTGGACAGCGATAAATTTTGAATTCCGTTGACGACCCGGCTGTCGAATGATGCTTTTGCACGAAATCGTACTGCGTGAGAATGGCCTGCATCGGATGAAAGGGGGCGTGTTTCTTCGTGAAGGCAGTCCGTTGTTGGCAGCTCTCGCACAGGTCGTAATCCTGACAGCTGAGGCAAGCGTAGCGGATGCCTGCAAAGTTCTGCACGCCACAGGCGTCGCAGTTGATACCTTTAAAACGGGTGGATTAATCTCTATTAGATTGACAGGAATGTTTAAAAGATTTAAATTTACCGGCGTGAATTTGGCTCATAACGGTAGTTTGATGGATTACACTGTACCAGCGGTCGATTTATATCATACCATATAACTAAACAGGTACCTACATATGATTCATATAATTATCATGCTACTGCCATATAAGATGCATGGTACTACTACATAGCAAAATGTTGAAAAGAACAGCGATAGATTACAGTAGTAAACTGCAGTTGCATGACGTCAGGTACTCGTTTCGGCATGGACAGGCCAGTTAATTTGGTCAATTTACGTATTACTTTAGTAGTTGTGTGACATGTATCACGTGCGAATTATATACAACGTAAGCAAAATAAAAGACTGTTTTCTCGCGTAACATTTGAAAAGCGCCTATCAGCTTTTGTAAACAAAATGTGTCAATGTTTGATGTGGATAGGTAGGGACGGTTACTGTTTAGGACACGGAAACGATTGATCGAGCTTTCACAGAATTTTTCTTCTGGAGAACTTGGATTTGTTTTGCCGAGATGGGTAAAGCATTTTCTTGAGCAGCTCGACATTTTATTTTGCTGGAACTCAGTGAAAAATTTACCGAGTTCGAATTGTAGGAAACATCATTTTAAGCTGCTCGCATGATGTGATTGTGTAGTTTGAGGATGTTAGTTAATTAAGAGTTGTCACGTTTTGAGCTTGTGGTTTCTCAAATGAAGGATTTTAATTGCATGATTTTTTGAAAGTTGAACAGAATATACTCAAATAAAGGGCATTTTGATTATGTTGGGCCTAGACTGTCAATAATAATCCAACTCCCACTGGGTTGACACGTCTCTGAGTTGTAGTGGAATCCACATCAGGGTCGGCAAGAATCCATGTGCGTCATTGAGTAAACGCTAGGCTTTGCAAAATGTGCAAAAATTAAACATTCAAGTGGGTTAGTTCGTCTCAAGTGGGTGATACTCTAAGGAAGCCTTAGCGTGAAACTTCAAGAGCACAAATGTCAGCTTTCACAAAACATACAATTATAACATTGCTACTCTCTGTTTGTTGTAGCGCAGCAACCAGGGAGTGGCAATTTCATATTTGTATGTTTTGTTGGAGCTGATATTTATGCTTTTGAAGTTTCACGCTAAGGCTTCCTTAGAGTATCACCATAATAGATGGTACAGCAAGTTGGGTCTGACAAAATTTAACCTCTGAGTGGATTGGTGTGCCTCTATGAGTGGGTTAGAGCGTCTTTGTGTAAATGCTTTTAAGAGTTAACAGTTAAGAGAAGAGGATAATTTTCCTGAATACTTGTAGTTCTACACCGAAAAAAGTTTTCGTATAGTTTCCATTGGGAACGCACATGATATTTTTCCAATAACTAAATTAATGATTCGTATCTGAAATTCACATAACATTCATATGATCACATGAATTCTATGTGATAAATCACATAAATTTCATTGGACACATAAGGTTCATGTGATTTTGTATTGCGATTCCCAATTATGAGATCACATGAAAGTTATGTGGAATTCTAATGGATATTTTCCATTGGAAATGTGATTTATTTTTTGAGTGTAGCTTCTCATTGTGTGTCTGATAAGCTCAGAGAATCAGCTATTCAATGACAATTTAGGATTATGATCTTGCTTGTACGAAAAAAAGGTATTGATTTAAAGGTTTCTAAGTGACTGGTTAAAAGATGTTCCGTTTCCAGTTGTATTTTTGATAGTCGAGCTTTAAGCTGCTTAGATAGAAACTTTATTCATTCCTTAGAGCAGCGTTTCTCAATATATGTGTCGTGATCCACCGGTGAGTCGTGGGCTGCTCTAGGTGGATTGCAGACATTCTGACACGTTGGTCATATGTTTTCAAAATTTCGTGCATAATTTAGCTGTGCTTAGAATTATGGGGGAGGTTGTTCATTGAAACTTCCGGTCCGCTTCGTAGCATAGTGCTTGCTAAGAGGTGCCAGGTGGTAACCTACTGATTACCTGACGATCGGCCAAATTTGGAAGACGTCTGCTTTGAATTGTCTCACATTGTAATATTCCGCCCACTATATCACAATCAATTGCGAGAAGCTGAGCGGAATGGAGACAAGGAAAGCATTTGGTACAGGACCAAGTCTCTCCCGGCTGGCGCCAAAACAATGAACCTGCAAGCAACTGGATCAAGTTGTCATGGGGCACGAAATGATCCTGTTGCATGGCTTGGAGCTGTTGCAATCGAGGAAGGGGGGGGGTTGGTGCTAATGTTTGATTTGTTTTTGTATAATTTCAGGTGTTAAGGTGGCCCGCTGCCTCTGGATAGGGGGTTTGACGGTGGTTCAGCAAGAATAATATTGAGACATAACGGGAATGCAACAAACGTGTCAAATTAACTGCATTGGTAACGAAAACACAGAGGAGCGTACACCTGATGTCACACACTAAGATGATAGTAATAAGGTCGGTGATAATATGACATTTACACAAAAGCGGAGATCAAATCATTTTGGTCAACGTACCAAAATTCGAAACTTCGATTAAAACGTGGAATCTGTGCAGCACCAGTGGAGAACACTAAATGTTGCAGGTCTCATCAACCGCTGCCTGCGGTATATAACTTGTGGCTGGTGGCCTCACAAATGGATCTCAGATGTAAATGTCATCAGAAGCCGATAGCAATAGAAACGAAGTCTGTAGGCAAGCATTTGATTATGAATTAAATCCGCCAGAACATCGCAGCAAAGGCAAATACTAAGGCAACGGAGCGTCAACAAGTAAATTAAGCAAGCCGATAGGAATTTGACTTGGGCCCAGGTCAAGCAGCTGCCCAGAATAGAAGTCTTTCACGTTGGCCCTGTGCACCTCTGGATGTTCCCAGGTATTTGAGTACGACGAAGATGGACGTTGCCCTTTGGAACGGAATGAAAGCGAACAAACTTGATGTTGCACAACAAGCCAACGTGTGTTTTTTTTTTTTTTTTCAGCAAAACAACAACATTCTCTATCTCTCTTCTTTACTCTTTTAATCTCTTACTATTCCCTAATCGGACGCTAGTGGGACCAAAAAGCCTGCTAGTGAAAGGAAAGTCGTTATGCTATACGGTCTAGCATAGACCACGACTACATTTCCGTAGGTTCATGCCTGGCTTAAGTGCAGATCGGTAGGCAGTAGCCTGCCAGGGTGTGAACTGAGCAATAACAATAACAATAATTTAGCTGTGCTTAGAATTATGGCAATCCAAATTGAACAATTCAAGAGCAAATTTTCATTACGTCGAAAGTAACAAATGTAAACAAAGTCGAGCTATCAGTGTCAATCGATGCTCCTGCTATTACACTATATACTGTCCGAGTATAGGATTTTTAAATTTATTTACCCTGCGCTTTGGTCAGATAGCGTATAGGGCGTCGTTGTGCCATTTTGGTCGTGGCACATTTCGAGTATGAGAGAGTGATTGCAGTTTGCTCAAAAGTGCCTGAGTAAAAGGCAATTTTTATTTGATTTTGTGTGGTGGATGGGTTTCGGGCGTGGACGGACATATGGGTGATAATATTAAGTTTACGTTAGGATAACGTTGAAAAAATTGAGAAATGTACCGCTTCAGTTTGAGAAGCACTTTACTTCGCAACCAATGAACCATTCTGACGGCCCACATTACCGTGCAGGCGCCGTGTGTGTGTCCAATATGGAACAGTTTGATTTTTTTTTTCGAGAGTTGACCAACTGCAGTCTTAATACAATGACATTTATATAAGGTCTGGGCCAACAAGCAGCTTGCTGGTGTTAGAAGTAAACATTGCTGAACATCTGCGAACAGATAGAAATACGTCACTGCCAACATACTGAGAACAGATAGAAATACGTCACTGCCAACAGCTGTTTCGTGTAAAAAGATAAACATTGCTATAAAATACGCACACCACTAAACATTTGCACACGTCACTAACACCAACAAGCCCTTTGGCCCAGACCTTATATAAACGTCATTGGTCTTAATAGGCTAGCACAGCGTTGCCAGATATACCGATTTATCGGTATTTATACCGATTTTCAAACTTGATACCGATGTACAGATAAGGTAACTCAGAATACCGATTTTTGAGTTTTAATACCGATTTATACCGATTTTTTAATAATCAAAATGA